GCCTGGGTTTGAGTCCTGGGTTTGAGTCCTGGCTCTGTTCTTGAGCCTAACCTCCTGCTAATCTGAACCCTGGGAGGCAGCAGGTGATGACTGAAGTACTTGGGTCTCTGCCACTCCCAATCCATGGGAAACATGGGTTGAATTTCCAGAACTTGGCTTTTGCCTGGCCAACCCATGGCCTTTGTGGTCATTTGGAGAGTGAACCAGCGGATGGTGGGCTTTTGATCTCTCTGTCTGCCTCTCAAATAAAAAAAAAGAAATGGACTAGAGGCTGGCATTGTGGCACATGAGGTTAAGCTGCTTTCTGTGATGCCAGCATCCCATATGAGCACTAGTTGAAGTCCTGGCTATTCTACTTCCTTTCCAGCTTCCTTCCAGTGTGTCTGGGAAAGCAGCAGAGGATGGTCCAAGTACCTGTGCCCCTGCCACCCACGTGGGAGGCCCAGATGGGGTTCTGGGCTCCTAGCTTCTGCTGGACTGAGAACTGGCCATTTTGGGAAGTGAACCAGTGAATAGAAGATCTCTGTCTTTGTCTCTTCCTGTAACTCTGCCTTCAAATAAATACATAAATCTTAAAAAAAAAAAAAACTCAAAATGGATCACAAGCTGAAATGTAAAACTATAAATCTTTTAGAAAAAAAAAAAAAACAGGAGAAAAAACAGGATCTAAGGGAAGCAGAGTTTCTAGAGTTGACACCAAAAGTGTGATCAATAAAAAGGAACAATGGATAAACTGGACTTCAGCAAAATTAAGCTTTTCTCTATGAAATAAACTATTGAGAAGATAAAAGACAAGCTACACACTGGAAGAAAATGTTTGCAAACAATATATGCAACAAGGGATTAGTATCTAGAATATTATGAGTTCTTAAATTCTGCTCTGTTCCTTATTATTTTCTGCCATTTGTTCATTTTAGATTTAGTGTGCTCCTTTTTATAAAGTATTTTTAAACTGGCACGTTAAAAACTATGAGGTGTACAATATGTTTCGAAACATGTGTATATTCTGGAACGGCTAATTAAAAAATCATTCCTTCATTTACCTTTGTTTTTCTTTGTATAGGCACTTATAAATTTTCCCTAATCACTGCTGTAGCTGCATCCCATCAGTTTTGGTATATTGTATTTTTGCATTCACCTCAAAATATTTTCTGATTCCTTCTTGGACTCATTGAATTCTTTCTTCTTGGATTCATTGGATTTTTGGGACTATGCTACTTAATTTTCACATATTTATGAGTTTCCTAACTTCTTCCTGCTATTTATTCCATTGTTATACTAATAATTTAATTTGTGTATTTCTATTCTTTAAAATTTTTTAAAAGGTTTATTTTATTTGAGGGGCAGAGTTACAGAGAGAGAAATCTTTCATCTACTGGTTCACTTGCTGGATGGCCACTGGTTCTCTTGAAACCTAGGGTACTTACCATTTGCCTTATATCTGAAAGGGAGAGAGAGAGAGAGAGATGGGTCTTCCATCTGTTGGTTCACTGCCGGAGTCCAGCTCCAGCAGGTCCAGGGGTTCCTGAAGGTGTGGGAGGCGTGTGCACAGGAAGAAATGAGAGACAAACTCACAGCAAGGTTGATGGCACAGCTGACACAGCAGCTTAAGCCATCGTTTGTGACACCTGTATTGGAGTGCTGATTTGAGCGCTGGCTACTCCAGCTACCTGCTTATGCACCTTGGAGGCAGTAAATTATGGCTCAACTACTTGGGTCCCTGCCATCATGTGGGAGACCTGGATGGAGCTCCTGGCTTCAGCCTGGCCCAGCTCGGTTGCAGCCATATGGGAAGTGAACTGGCGAGGCCAAGCAACTTCGGCTGGCTGACAAGGTCACTGCAGAAGGTCTATCTCAGCAAGGCGTGAGAACAACAGCTGTGGTCCTCTTGGTGGTTTTAGGTTTGTTGGGAATTACACTCTACATAAGCAACCTGGAACTTCCTGGTGGTCCCGCTAATGATTGCTGTATTTCTAATTTTAGGGAAGAGCGCTTAGTTTCAAAATCCCCCAAATGTCCACTGCTTTGTAGAATTTTAATCAAGCTGAATGTTAGTGTTGGAAAAGGGGTTAATGCTTTATGCAAGTTGAGCTATTTGTGGGAAAGAGTTAAAAGGCAACAGGTGCCCTGGTATAAACTTCCCACTGAAACAAAGATAAATGTTATTAAAGCTTTAATTCAATATGTGCAACAAATACAACAACGGTTAGGATGTCAAAACCGTGGAATAGATCTAAGTGAATGTTTAGATAAGTACAATAAAGAAATTAAAGAGTTACAGAAAGAACTCCAAAAGAGGGATACTTTTTAAAAGGGGCCTGCTTTGAACACTGGGGCTTCTGGTAAAGATTAGATTAGGAGGGTATTGCTCTAGCTTCTGTAACCAATTTCTGCATAGCTCGGCAGCACTCCAGGCCTTGGCTTCTGTGGGCAGCCCATTGTCTCGCTCCTGTCTGTGATTGTAACCCATACTCTAAACATGCCCTTGAAAATAAAAAAAAAAAAAAAATGTAACTAGATGAAAATGGGCAACAGACTTGTCATTGTAAGAAGAAAGAATCATTATGTGACATGATATAAAAATAAAGTCTGGTGCTCAAAGCGGCGGTTTTACCCATTATACCACAGCGACAGCCCCAAGAATCAGGTCTCTAGATTCTTAAATGTCACTGAACAAAGAATGTGTAGACAGATAGTTCTGTCATTAAATAAAAACAGCTAGGGCTGGCGCTGTGGCACAGCAGTCCTGGGCTGAAGCATCGGCATCCCATATGGGTGCCGGTTCAAGACCCGGTGGCTCCACTTCCAATTCAGCTCTCTGCTATGGCCTGGGAGAGCAGCAGAAGATGGTCCAAGTCCTTGGGCCCCTGCACCCATGTAGGAGACCCGGAAGAAGCTCCTGGCTCCTGGCTTCAGATCTGTGCAGCTCTGGCCATTGTGGCCATCTGGGGAGTGAACCAGCGGATGGAAGACCTCTCTCTCTGTCTCTACCTCTCTCTGCATCTCTTTCAAGTAAATAAAATAAATCTTTTAAAAAAATAAAAACAGCAAGAAATTGATAAGGTGTTGTGATTGAGTGAGTGCAAACACAGGAAACTACGTACTGATATATTTGACAGTCCTTTATTGCCAGTGGTCAAGAGTGGGCTCACGCCCTGAAAAATTCTCGACCCTGAAACTCAAAGCAACGGGGTTTATAAAGGCAAAAACCACAAGCAGGGGAGGAGGAATACATGGTTACTAGGGTCAAACTGACCTAAAGCATATGCAAAACTAACAAATTATAATCTTGACATTAGTTCCGGTACCAACCTAAATCATATGTGGGACATACACAAATTACAATCTTAACATTAATCCAGGTACAGCCTATCTGTTTTAAGCTTGAGCAGTCATGCTAAGGGATTTCTATGTTTTGCCAAGCAGGATGTAGTGTACTGTTATTGTCTTAGTTTTAGACTGCAGTTTCACTGTGTGTGGGGGGGTACTTTCTCAAGATGGAGTCTCAGGTGCTCTAAAATGGAGTCCTTACTGTCAGAGTGTCACTTCAAAGTGATGGAAACAAAAGTTTCTGTTTGTTTTTAAAGATTTATTTATTTACTTGAGAGGCAGAGTTACAGAGAGAGGGAGAAACAGAAAGGTCTTCCATCCGCTGGTTCATTCCCCAAATTGCCACAATGGCTGGAGCTGGGCCAGGCTGAAGCCAGGATCCAGAAGCTTTTTCTGGATCACCAATGTGGATACAGGAGCCCGAGCACTTGGACTACCTTCTATTGCTTTCCCAGGCCACCATCAGGGAGCCAGATCAGAAGTGGAACAGCCAGGACTGCTGGTGCCACAGGCAGATGTTTAACCTACTATGCCACAGCACCAGCTCCAAAAACAGAAGTTGAAGCCTAGACTTCTTTGAGACATAATCAGTTGAAGGAAGACTAACAAGATAACCTTGCTGATGTAAATCTAGAAATCTGTTCTGATGTCATTTAAGACAAAATCCAAGAGAATTAAGAGGATCATAAAATCCAATGATGTGCTCTCTTCAAGATCTTAATGCATAAAAGAAAATAATGAATACACAACCCATGTAAAAACTTCCCCGATAGAAGAGGGAGGAGTGAGAAGGGTGGGAATGCAAGTTGAAGGGTGGGTACGGTGGGAAGAATCACTATGTTTCTAAAGTTGTATTTATGAAATGCATGAAGTTTGTATACCTTTAATAAAAGTCTGCTGGGGATAAAAAAGCTTTCTCAATTATAAAAAACATTTCCCCATAATTAAAATTCCTCACATTTAACATTGAGCCAGTCAGCAAACAACTTTATTTCTTCTAACCAGTTCCTCAGTTCATAAGATTGGCCTTAAAATCACTCAACCCAATCCTTCCTTTACCCCCAAGATTGAGAGATTCCTAAGTTTTGCCCGTGTTTTTTTTTTTCTTCTTTGCTACACAGAGCTAAATAAATCTGGTTATTGTGTGACTACAGATACAATTCTTATCTTCAAAAGATTTTCTTATAAATACATAGTCCAACTAACCAGAAAAAAATCACTATTAATATTTAAGTAGGTTTCCTATTTCAGGTATGGTGTGTTTGATGGATTGACATGGTTCTAATCATACTAGGTTTCTCTGATTTGAAAAAGAAGCTTTTAGAAATGTTAAGTAAACATTTTCAGTGGAAGCAAAACACTCTAGTTATTTATGTAGATAACATACCAGAATTTAACTATTCGATTCCATTCATGAATCATTAGACATTGAGATGTCTTCCAACTTTTGCTTTTGAAACAAACCTGTGATATATTCTCAGGATAAATCCCTGCAATTACAGTGACCGAACTGAATGGCATGAACATGCTTTGGCTTCAGCTGCATACTGCTTATTTGTTTTCCAAGAGTTTTACCCATTAATTTGTAACCTGCAAGCTATTAAATATCCCACCAGCACATTAAAAGCATCTTTTAAATACAAGTTTACATTTCTTCAAAGATTTTATTTATTTATTTATTTATTTGAGAGGTAGAGTTACAGACAGTGAGAGAGAGAAACAGAGAGAAAGGTCTTGTTTCCGTTGGTTCACTTCCCAGTGGCCACAATGGCTGGAGCTGCGCTGATCGCCGATCCAAAGCAGGAACCAGGTGCTTCTTCCCAGTCTCCCACGCCGTGGCAGGGAGCTCTAGGGCCATCTTCTACTGCTTTCCCAGGCCACAGCAGAGAGCTGGATAGAAGAGGAGCAGCCGGGACTAGAACCCTGCGCTCATATGGGATGCCTGCGCCGCAGGTGGAGGATTAACCTGCACCATAGCGCCGGCCCCAAGTTTTTCCTATACATTTAAAAGCTTTAGAAATATTTATTTTACATAGACAGCATTTGAGAAATTCACTTCCTGGGTCTCATTCTCAGTTGTCCTCTATAAGTGTAACAGCAATGATGTCATAAAGCACTTTGGGGATATGCAGGAAATAATTTTAAGCAGTAATTACCGAAATAGGCCAGTTAGATGGTAGTCTTGCATACCTGACAGACAAAAGCAGACATCTAAGATTCAAAAGAATTTTCTCACTTTAAATTCTTTTCAAACACGTTATTGACAACTGTTGGTGTGTGTAATAGTCCTTTTGTTGGGAAGGCATTTTTGGAGAAAAAATTAAAACACATAGTTGAATGTCGGTGATCTGTTTTATAGACTGCTACGTGTATGAACACTGAGAAAGATCGACTACTTTATTTAGTGGGATGTATTTGAGAATGCCTTGAGAAAGTATAATCGGTCTAGGGCTTGGTGTTAAGGTTAGCCAGGCCTCAGCTCCCTTTCTTCGGATCCTGGACTTTTACGAAGGCGCTCCCGTCCGCCCCTCTCGATCTTTTTCCTCGGGTGTACTGTAATACTTGTTGAGCCTGGGGCAGTGAAGCTGGGTTAGATGTAGGTCACCTCAGGGCACTCCAGATTCTTTCCTAGGTCTTAAGAATTTCACTAAAGGAACACATACTCCACCTGCTTAAAAAGAAAACATAAATTAGTTCCCACCATCCACCTTTAGTGGTAAGACGGAGAAAATTAGCGAGATGTCCTTTTACAACCACACCTAAACCAACTCAACACACTCCCCACCTTCCGTGAGCTTCTCTTCCCGGCAGGGCTGGGCCGGCCACACAACGGCTTCGCCCACCAGAGGCCAATGTCGGCCCTGAACGCATGCGCTCTACCTCGGAGGCGTCTGCCCCTCTTTTACATCCATGGGGGGTGGGGGGCGCGTTTTCGGGTCTGGCAGGAACTACAATTCCCAGCATCCTGGGCGGCGAAAGGAAGGAACCCCGGGAGTGCGCGAAAGCGGCTCGCGGGGCTAGCGGGCCAGCGAGGGAGCTCCTCCTCCTTCCAAGCGGGTCTGCGTCTCTTGCAGCCTGCGGCGTCAGCCGCGTCGGCGCTCACGCAGGGGCGGGTGACGGCGGCGCGGGGCAGTGCAGGGCGGGAAGGGACGTCGTGGCGGCGGCGGCGGCCGAGGCAGGGCCAGCAGCTTAGGCGGCTGCGGCAGGGACAGCAGGCGCGGTGGTGCTGTCAGGCCGGCGGAGAAATGGGAGACCCAGGGTCTGAGGTGAGTAGGGCAGCCTTGGGCTTTGGCGTCCTGAGAGCCGAACCGCGAAAGGTTTCCTGTGTTCTCCGGGGGGAGGCCTGTGCTCGCCCAGGCCTGTGGGGCGACGTCTCTTAACCCTCGGACCGAGCCCGGAGTTGGGCCTGCGCATGTATGATGAGCAAGGAACCGGCGGGAACAATGGCCGCCCCCCGATGCCCTCCCATGGTCGCGGGGTCCTGCAGCCTCGGCTCTGCCGCTGGGAGCGACGTTTTAGGAGAGGACTGCCCGTGGGTAGTGAGCTTGTGTCGCCCCTTGTTTTGTAACTGTGGGGATTCTGAGCGGCTCCTAAGCACCAGGACTCCGTCCAGGTCTGATGGTAGTCGGGTTTGCTGAAATCGTGGGCTGTTTTCCCCGAGAGCTTTTTGTCTTCATCGTGCTTTCTGGAAAAGTCTCTCCCTTCAAGCGCGTGGCTGCATGTTAAGCATGTTTTGGCTTATTTTTATAGATAATAGAATCTGTCCCTCCAGCTGGGCCTGAAGCATCAGAGGCAACAACGGATGAAAATGAAGACGACATTCAGTTTGTTAGTGTAAGTAGCACCTCATAATCGGGGATTTCCCCATTGTGAAGGGCCATGGTAGGGCATTCCGGGGTGACACTTCGCCAGGTCATTCAGCTTTCAACAAATACTTAGGAAAGTGTGACGCTCACTGGACACGGTGGAGCATGGCATGAACTCGGGGAATTTCCCCCAAAGTAGTATCTGAGCAACCCCGGTGGCCATCACAAAGAGTGAGGCCTAAAGAAGAGATGGTGCACCTGGTTACTCCTCCCATGCCCTCATATAGAGCCATTTATACTCCGCCATGACACAATTCTGATCTCAGACTGGCAGTTTTAAAATGGGCAGAACTGTTTTACAAGATGACACACAGGGGTAGGGGTGGCTGCCGGTAAGGAAGGAGACAGGAAACAAAAAGGGTTGCCAGAACTCAGAATCTGGCATTATGTAGCTTCAGACTTGAGGCAAGTCGTTGGAAGGTTTCACCACCCTCTGAGCTCGTCAGGTTACAGCACAGTGCAACAGTTGAGGCTCATAATGGAGAGTCCTGCATCACCAGGAACAAACTGTGTTGTTCTGAATTTATCCCCATTGGGACAGTATGTTAGCAGTAGTAGTGTAAGCAGGCAGATTGTGGACTCTCCTCCAGACCTACTAAATCAGAATTTCCTCTGGGGTAGGGATGGGGGCAGTAGGAATCTTTGTTTTGGAACAAATGCAGCACCTATGGACCTCTGAACACACTTTGTGAAGTATTCCTTTTGGAAGAAAGCCATATGTTGTTTTTTAGGATGGTTTACATTCATAACTTAAAAAGTTTTATAATGTTTGTCCTTAAAGTGATAGCTTAATTATCCAGAGAGTATTTCTCCTCCAAACTCTGCTTTTGGAGTGCTGTAGTTAGTTGCAGTTTGGTATACAACATTCGGCCATTGGGTGACTGTTGTATGGTATTTTAGTGGGTTTTTGTGAACGGAATCAGTCACAATATTTTTTTCCTTGGATGTTCCCCTTTTTTTCAAACCATAATTGTATTCTGTTCTCATCTTGAACTTGTAAGGATTTGATGTGAGAGTGAGAATGACTTGCGTCTTTCCCCTTTGTCGCTGTGGAATAAGTTTGATGACAGAGTTCCATGGCTCTTTAAGACAGTATTTTAGGCCGGCGCCACGGCTCACTAGGCTAATCCTCCGCCTTGCAGCGCTGGCACACCGGGTTCTAGTCCTGGTCGGGGCGCCGGATTCTGTCCCGATTGCTCCTCTTCCAGGCCAGCTCTCTGCTGTGGCCAGGGAGTGCAGTGGAGGATGGCCCAAATGCTTGGGCCCTGCACCCCATGGGAGACCAGGAGAAGCACCTGGCTCCTGCCATCGGATCAGCGCGGTACGCCGGCCGCGGCGGCCTTTGGAGGGTGAACCAATGGCAAAGGAAGACCTTTCTCTGTCTCTCTCTCACTGTCCACTCTGCCTGTCAAAAAAAAAAAAAAGTCTTAAAATTAAAAAAAAAAAATTTGAGGCAGAGAAAGGAGGAGAAAGAAATCTCCCATCTACTAGTTCACTCCCCAGGTGCCTGCAACTACAAACAAGCTGAAACCAGGAGCCCTGAAGTCAGTCTGAGTATCCCACATTGGTGGCAGGGACCCAACTACTTGAATTTTCAACTAGAATCTCTCAGGTACCTGTTAGCAGGTAGTTAGAATCAGAAGTAGAGCTGGGACTCATACTGAGGTGCTACCAATATGGGATTGAGCATCCCAAGTTGGCGTAATTGTTCACTGTGCTACCGTGGGTATAAAAGCTGCTGAGGGACCCTATCATCTTTATAACAGTGCAGGAGTTTCAGTTTTGCACCAAGATTATTGGTACAATGTGAAATCACTGGAAACATGGGTGTAAGCAAGGAAATTAAAATGTTTTAATAAGTAAGTTCAAGAGCATGTAGGTTAAGTATTAATACTTGAGCTATAGGGGTAGGCATTTTGCACAGTGGTTAAGACAGCACTTGGGACACCCAAACACTGACTTTTCTGCTTTAGATCCTACTTTCTGTTGATACACACAAACTCTGGAGGCAGCAGATGATGGCTTATGTCATTGGGTCCCTGCCACCCATGTGGAAGACCAAGATTGAGTTACGGATTCCTGATTTTGGCCTAGTCCAGTGGACATTTGGGGAGAGAACTAGCAGATGAAAAATCTTTCTCTCTCTACATTTCAAAAAATAGGAAAAATAAATTTAAAAATAAAAATAGAAACCAAAACTTTAACTGCAGAAGGGAGTCATGTAAAAAATAAGTACCTTTTGGGCAAAATTCAATAAGTAAAAGTATTGAGCCAGGAGTTAAGTATCTTAGAGCTATACAGGTTAGTTGGAAGTATATATACCTTAAGTATCAGTAGTTTAGTTTAAGGTATGAGCTAGGAGATGAAAACTATGTAAAGAGTTCTAATAGAAAGTAGTAAAAGATTTTTTTATAGAAACTACGTAATGCCTTCTTTTGTACAACACTAGTAGTTTATCACTTTCACACAGGAAGTAGTTACTTGTATTTGTTTAAAAGGACACTTTGAAGAAAAAAGAACATGTATCAAAATGGGAAAACAATTATACATTCTGGATAAGATTTTTTAAATAGGGAAAGATGTATCAACAAGATGGAGGTCTTGAATGCTGGACTAAATTTGAATTATAAAGTACGTAGAGTGGAACCATTTGAAAATTTTGAACTGGGCAGTACTACAGAAGTTTTTACTCTATATTGGCAAAAAAAGTCATGAAATATAGAGTTTTATATTTGGTTTTTGCCTTTATGTTCAAATCCATATTCACTGTTAAGAGAATTCTTTGAAATAAACTAAATTTTTTGTGGGCCGTATCTTGGTGTGTTGATAATCTTTTTGCAAATGGTATAAAGTAGATGCTTTGGTTTGCAGAATCTGTTTTTTTTTTTTTTTTTTTTGACAGGCAGAGTGGACAGTGAGAGAGGGAGAGACAGAGAGAAAGGTCTTCCTTTTTGCCATTGGTTCACCCTCCAATGGCCGCTGCAGCCGGCGCACCGCGCTGATCCGAAGGCAGGAGCCAGGTGCTTCTCCTGGTCTCCCATGGGGTGTAGGGCCCAAGTACTTGGGACATCCTCCACTGCACTCCCGGGCCACAGCAGAGAGCTGGCCTGGAAGAGGGGCAACCGGGACAGAATCTGGCGCCCTGACTGGGACTAGAACCTGGTGTGCTGGCACCGCAAGGTGGAGGATTAGCCTATTGAGCTGTAGCGCCGGCCAAGAATCTGTTTTCTAATAACAGCAATTAGAGCTTTTTATTTCATGAGGAGATTATTATTTTTTTTTTAAATTGAGAATGTTAATTCAGGTGTTTTCCTAAATTGTTTTGCCATGCTGTGCCTCTTCTGTACATTGCATGACATTAAGAGTGGAATTCTTGGATTTTCTAGTTGTTTACAAGAGGGAATGAAAAATGATCATTTATTAGTTGAAAGTGGAAATTCAGATCAAATAACTTAGAATTGGAAGATCACATGCAAAATAATCTCAACTTGTAGACTAATTGTGGGAATTAAATGATGTATACAGTAAGTTTTGCACAGTGGCCCAGATGCAATAAGTGTCATCTCTTAATAAAATAAATGGTATATTGAACATTTTGGTTCTTTAAGTTCATTATATTGGGAGCTTTTCTGTATCTACTAAAATTAGTTAATGTATATACTATTTGTGTATTAATATTTTCTGTTGAAATACATTTCCAGTCAGTCTGTCTTTTTGGTGATTGCTAACATATTTCCCCTTATTCTACCACTCTGTCACTTATAACTATTATTAAATATTGAATGAATAAATATTCTGAATCACTTAAGCTTTTTGTTAACTAAGAAACCCTGCTTCTGTTTTATTCTCTTTATTAATGTAAGTGACATCAAATTGTTTCTCTTGTACTTCAGAAATGGTTGCATACTAGTATAATGGTCCACTCCAGTAATAAATTTCTTGAAAGTTTTTTTCATTCTTATTCTTGCCCTTTCTATTTCTGCAGCTACTTTTTAATCCTGTTTGTTACTGTTTTTCTTATTTTTTTTAAAGATTTATTTATTTATTTGAAAGACAGAGTTATAGAGAGGCAGAGAGAGAGAGAGGTCTTCCATCCTCTGATTCACTTCCCAAGTGGCTACAACAGCCGGAGCTGGGCTGATCCGAAGCCAGGACCGTGGAGCCTCTTCCAGGTCTCCCACGTGGATGCAGGGCTTAAGCACTTGGGTCATCTTCCACTGCTTTCCCAGGCTATAGCACAGAGCTGGATCAGAAGATGAGCAGCTGGGACTCGAACTGGCATCCATATGGACTGACAGCACTGCAGGCAGTGGCTTTACCTGATATGCCACAGTGCTGGCCCTTTACTATTCTATTTTTTTCTACCCATTTTATTTGCCTTAGGTTTTGTCATTTTTTTATTGCCCTTTGTTCTTTACTTTTTCTCTGTTTGTGGAATTTCTCTGTTTGTGGAAACAGTCCCTGCCTGTCTGTTTCTGGTTCCCTGGTGGCTTTCTTGGTTTACTTTTTTTTTTTTTTTAAGATTTTATTTCTTTACTTGAGAGGTAGAGTTAGAGAGAGAGAGAGAGAGAACAGTCTACAGTCTGCTGGTTCACTCCCCAAATGGCCACAATGGCCAGAGCTGGGCCGGGCCAAAGCCAGGATCCAGGAGTTTCTTCTGGGTCTCCCACACGGGTGCAGGGCCTCAATTGCTTGGGCCATATACTACTGCTTTCCCAGAGCATAGCAGAAAGCTGAATCAGAAGAGGAGCAGTTGGGACTAGAACTGGCACCCATATGGATGCCAGTGCCATCGGTGGAGGCTTAGCCCACTATGCCACCCCACCAGCCCCTTGGTTTACTGTATGTGGACCTGTGATAAAAGGTTGAAAAACACATTTTTTAAAAGTTTTATTAATTTGAAAGGTAGAATTATATATAGAGACAGAAAGAGAGATCAAGAGCTCTTCTATGCTGTTTCACTCCTCAAATGGCTGCTATAATCAGGGCTGGGCCAAACTGAAGCCAGAATCCTGGAACTCCATCCAGGTCCCTCACATGGGTAGCAGGGGCCCAAGCACTTGGGCCATTTTCTGCTGCATTCTCAGGCATGTTAATAAGAAGCTGGATTGAAAGCGGAGCATCCAGGAATTGAACTGGCACTCGTGGGATGCTGACATCATGACAGTTTAACCTCCGTGCCACAGTGCTGGCCTTAAACTACATTTTTTTAAAAATTAATTAATTTATTTGAAAGGCAGAGTTAGAGCACGAGTGAGCTTCCATCCACTGGTTCACTCCCAAAATGGATGTTGTGGAGTTGGTCCTGTCCTAAGCCAGGACCCAAGCTTTTTCCAGGTCTCTAACATGGGTGTAGGGGCCCAAGCTCTTGGGTCATCCTCTGCTGCTTTCCCAGGCAGAAGAGCAGAGAGCTAGATGGAAGCGGAACAGCTGGGGATGCCTGCACTGCAGGTGGCAGCTTAACACATTGTGCCACAGTACCTGCCCCTAAGACCACATTTCATGAAGAGAACAATCCAAGGTGATGATATGAATGCGAAAAGCTGTTATATTTTTGTCTCTTCTACTTCCTTCTTGGACTGAACATATAATTTTGACAACTTCAATCGCGTTCTGCCATTCTGTTCCTCTCTTGCTTTTTTTTCCCTTCCTTCCTGCCTTCCTTCTTCCCTTCGTCCCTTCTTATTTGAGAGAAAATCCTGGGGCTAGCACTGTGGTGTAGTGATAAAGCTGCTGTGTGCAATGTCAGCATTCCATATAGGCATGAGTTCGAGTCCCAGCTGCTCCACTGCTGATCTAGCTCCCTGCTAATGTGCCTAGGAAAGCAGCGGGAGATGGCCCAAGTGTTGGGCCTCTGCACCCATGTGAGAGACCTGGATGAAGCTGCTAGCTCCTGGCTTTGGCCTTTCCCAGCCCTGGCATTGTGGCCATCTGGGAAGTGAACCACCTCTCTCTAATTATGTCTTTCAAATAAATAAATGAATCAAAAAAAAAAAAAAAAAGGAAAATCCTAAATCTCTATTACAGAATCATGCCCTAAAAGTTTTACCCTTTGGCTGGGTGTCCAGATGGATCTACCCAAAAGTATAACAGTTTTCTAGTTGGGTTGAATTCATAGCCTATGGAGAAATAAGCTATCTTTGAAACTGGATGCCTCTTCTAGGAAAGGTGATCATTAACTAGATCTTAATCTCTATCTCAAATAGGCAACTTCCCTACCGTAAGATATCTTTCCTTCAACCATATTTTCTCCTGTTATCCTTTATCTTATTTCCAGTATACTAAATTTTTAAAAATAATAATCCTTTTTTTTTTAAAAAGTATTTATTTGCTTGAAAGGTGGAGTGACAGCAAGAGAGGGAGAAAGAGATCTTCCCTCTGTTGACTCACTCCCCAGATGGCCTCACCGGCCCCTGGCTGGTCCAAGGCCAAAGCTGGGAGCCAGGAACTCCATCCGTGCCTCCCACATTGGGTGGCAGGAGCCCAAATACTTGTGCCATATTTCACTGCTTTTTTAGGTACATTAACAGGGAGCTGGATAGAAAGAGGAGCAGCTGGTCTCAAACCTATGCCCATATGGGATGCTCAACTTTGCAAGACCCCTTCTGTTAATTTTTTAGAGTCTGACTTCCATGCTCACTTCTTTCTTTAAAACTCTCTTAAAAACATTTTAAATTGTACTTTTGCCAATTCAGTGGCATCCTCTTGGTGCTCATTGTTTTTGGTACATTTAGGATTAACAGTTTGTTGAGGTAATACCATATTTTTATTTTAATTCTAGAGTTTTAAGTCTTTAGGGGAACAACTCTTAAATCTCTAATTCCAGGTATGTTCAAACCTGCAGATTACAAGTGTGCATTTACAGCTGTCTGCCAGATACCTCTTGTGTATCACTGGTACTTCAATCCATTATGTAATAACATCGGTTGTCTGTGTCCGAGTTCCAAATTCATACTAATGGCTTTAGTATTCTAGTCACCTGAGTTGGAAACCTTAGAGAGACTGCTTTGATTCTTTGGTTTTGTTTAATAGCCAATTTTTTCCCCTGTTTTACCCATATTCTCTAATGTGTGCACTAGCTCACCTTTCTTATCACCAGTTTGTTCTGCATTGTGGTCCTGTTTTAGTTACTGGACTTTCTCCACTGCCTATATTCTTAGGTGATTAATCTTGTTGAAGCACAGCTTTTTTTTTTCTTTTTTTCTTTTTTTCTTTTTTTCTTTTTTTGACAGGCAGAGTGGACAGTGAGAGAGAGAGAGACAGAGAGAAAGGTCTTCCTTTGTCGTTGGTTCACCCTCCAATGGCCACCGTGGCTGGTGCGCTGCAGCCGGCGCACCGCGCTGATCCGATGGCAGGAGCCAGGTACTTATCCTGGTCTCCCATGGGATGCAGGGCCCAAGTACTTGGGCCATCCTCCACTGCACTCCCTGGCCACAGCAGAGAGCTGGCCTGGAAGAGGGGCAACCGGGACAGAATCCGGCGCCCCAACCGGCACTAGAACCCTGTGTGCCGGCGCCGCAAGGCGGAGGATTAGCCTAGTGAGCTACGGCGCCGGCCTGAAGCACAGCTTTCAATGTAATCCCCATCTTACTTATCTTTTGCCTATAGATTAAAATCTAGGCTTTTAAATCTGGTCTGTAAAAAAATAATCATAATTGGAAAGGATGGAGAAGACATTTGACCTTGAGTCTCTAAGGGTAGGAGATGAAGCCAAGCTGTCAGAGATGTGTGGAGATTTTAACAGATTATTGATACCCTTCTGGCTCAAAAGATCATAATATCTATTCTCTTATTAACATTGTTCTTGTACTTTCCTTTTCCAGGCAATAGGCTTGGACTTAATACTCTACCAGGGTTTAGGCTTTTGCTTTTAGGTTTTATAATCATTTCTTGTTAATGTGCTCAAAATGTTTCCTTCTTTTCTTTTGTTCTAGTTATTTTCTGCCGCCCATTAGGCTGCTGCTTCAGAGGAATTCTTGCCCATCCTGAAAATATTCATTGCTTTAAATATCAATTTGATTTGAATAACTGTTCATGATTTGTGAATTTGCTAAATTTTTTTTTTAGGAAGGACCTTTAAGACCTGTTCTTGAATACATTGATCTGGTCAGCAGTGATGACGAAGAGCCTAGCACCTCTCATAGTGATGTAAGTACATATGCTTCAGATTTTTTCCTGTGTCACTTAAGAGGCAATCTCAAGTGATAGTCCTTTAGAGAATGGCCCATTTCTGTTTCAGAGGGCCATACTTGGTGGTCAAAGGAATTCTTTACTCAGAACATCTCCTGCTTCAATTTTGTTTCTCTACTTTCAGTGAAAAGATAATATGACCTCAGGAAGTTCTAAGCCTAGGAAGTGATACCTGATAAAGAGGAAATGTAATGATATCTGCAAGCTTTTTGACTCCTCTTGCCGTTCTCCTTTGTTGTATTCTCCTCAGGCACCCTATAGAACTGAGCCTTTTTCTTCCAGAGTTATGTGGCTACTGAAAATTTGTTTCCTCTTAGAAGAAAGGATATGTGAAGATCCTTTGGGGAATAGAATGTGGGTAACAGTTTATAGGTGATAAGTTATTTATGTCATCCGTTTCAGCCTCCTCTTTCCCCTTACATTTTAGAGTTATTTATGTTAACCGGTGACTTACTGATTGTGGGTTTGACCCTTAAACCAGTATTTGTTACTCTGAAAATCGAACTAATTGGGGCCTTTGTAGCAATCTTGCGTTCATCTCTTTGCCCTAGCCCAGATTTCTATTAATGAGCTGTTTTCTTGATGGATTAGGGAACTCTTGGCACTTGCTCACAATGTCCAAAAAGCGTCTTGCTCTGTGATACAGGGAATTGAAACTTGACTTGAATCAAAATACCTGGATTTAAGATGCAGCTTTACTCTTTACTAATTTTTCAATTTAAATTACTTTTTCACCTCACATGTTTTTTAATCAATTAAGGAAAATACCTACCTCACAGGGTTGTTGTGAGGATGAAATGAGGTAACAAATATCTAAGTAAACTCCTTAAAACCACAAGCTAAAAATTTCGGACCAAACAACTGGAACGTTATTGATGGAGAGTGAATGGCAGTAGTTTTGAAAGGGCTTAAAAATGACTCTCTTTTATAAGAGAGTTTTGGTAAACTTGTTTTTTGTTTCAGTAGAACTTTTCACAAGTTTTCTCTACCATCATTAGCTTCCACTTGCTGGCTTATATGTTGAAATGGATTTTTTCTTTCAATTGTTAATACTTGTGATCTGAACACCTCTTCTTATCCTTGCACAAAAACCAAGTAGCAGGCCAGCATAGCACCACTTGAACTGAGCTTAGTGTTACTGATTTTTAGACTTCTAGATTAATACCAGTGGTTGATACTGTGATATGGAATAGTGAATTTTAAGGATTTGACTTTTGTAATCATTTTGATGACTTGTAGTGGATTGTTCTTTTAATTATAATACCTTAAAAATTGAGTGCTACTTACTGGACATGCATCTCTGCACTTGAAAGTTAACATATTAAAAGCATATTTTTTTTCTTCCTTGGTTTTCTTGTTCATGTGGATAACCCAGAGAATGCCTGAATCTAAGGTGCCATCCTCTGAGAATCATCGCCCAGAAATGTGCTCTAGCTGCAATACTCCTCTTCCCATTGGAGACAGCAGCTCCTCCTTAGGGAGTTGCTCCAGCAGTCCACAAAGGATAGTTTCTCAACCTTCCTCTGTTGAGAACCCATTGGAGAAACAGAAAAATGATCAAAATAATTCAGATATTAAGATTTCTGATACAGAGACACTTAAACCATCACAAAATTATCAGACTCTGCATTCACCTTCTCTTCTGATCCCCCAAGAATCCTTGGCCTCTTCTGAGGTTAAGGAGAATTTACCTATAGAGTCTTCTTCAGCTTCACAGCATGGACAGGATGCCATCCTCTATCTCCAGACACAAGTGGCTGAGATGTCCCGGGTGATACGTGATCTGCAGTCTAGGAGCTGTTTTCGATTTCACCATTCTAGGCCAAGTGAGAACTCCTCAGTGCCTTGGGACATATCTACCTCTAAAGAAGAACATTTATCCACAGTTGAAGAAGAGGCTGATTGCAAATCCCCATCAGCTGATGACAAAGGGCAGCCAGCTGACCCCAGCCAATCTAGTTTCACAGGTCTTTTGAAGAGAATGGAACAAAGAGGTGTTATAAAGAGGGTAACATTACAGTCTGAAGCAGAATCATGTGAAGGGAAACCTGATTGTGTGACCTCTAAAAAACGTTTGGTTCCTCCATTGCATCCTCTTTTGAGAATTGCCACTACTGAGGTTTTTAAGGACCCTGCTGATTGCCATCCTTCTTCCTTCATGGGACACAGGGTATATCCTGTGGCTAAGGACACATCTCCTTTCCAACCAAATCCACCAGCTGAGGGCCCTATTGTAGAAGCATTAGAGCACAGTAAAAGAGGAAGCACAACATCCCCTCTAGATTCTACCTCAAAAGAAATGGAGGTCATGGGTTGTAGGTTCTATCATGCTGCCTCCATTGCAGCCCGGGCTGCTAGCTACATGGCCTACATGACTCAGTATCAGCGTAAACTCTGGGAAGACATGGAGGATCTGGTTCATGACCCAGAGTTTGATCGTGGAAGAGCAAGATGTATAATATCTGATGGTATGGATGCAGGTCTTTGGCAGCTTTGTACTACTAGGGACATCATGGACTCTGTAGTCAGAGTTATGGCCATGGCAATAGACTATAGGAGGCAGGCCTGGCTTCGACTTACATCTCTCAGTAAGAAAACCCAAGAGAAGATCTCACACTTGCCCTTTGATGGTATTTCCCTTTTTGGACAAGATGTGAATGCTATTGTTGCAGAAGAAAACAGTATAAAAGAAAATGACTATAAGGATCACAGATACTATAATCAGCATCGATACTTTTATAGTCATGATCAGAAAGCACATTATTACAACAGAGGATACACCAAAGGAGATTGGTACAAACCCCGAAATCATCCATATAGGTACAGAAAAAAAGGAGAATCTCCAGAACGCCATGGGTACAAGAATTAGTAACCTGTTCATATTTAGCCAGTCATCCAAGAACCTTTGCTCGTTCCTTCTCATACAAACAAGATTAACAGATGGGAAAAGATCTGAAAAACTGAATGTCTGGTGTGGTCCCAGCTGATGTTTGGATTCCAGATTTTTGGAATGAAGTATATAATTGGCCAGGTGAGCAATGAAGACTATTCCTGTTAGGAAGATGTTTATTATTTCTAGGAGGAGGAGGAGGAGGGCACTCAGGAATCTGAATCCTCTTGTGATTAAAGAAACATATATGCATTGTTCCTCAGGAAATCTTAGTGGTAAACTGAGGACTAGCAGATTTTCATTCTGGAAATAAACTACTACGGGATCCCCGTTTACTAAAAGCAGAGATAAATGTGTCATTTTTAGGTCATCTTTGCTTCCTTGATCAAACTTCAGCTTGACAGATCTTCACAAAGTGAAAAATCTATTACAGTCTCTATGTCAAGACCATCAACTCACCAAGAGTTAGTACTGTCATCAAGCTCTATGAGACTTCATTGTCAGCTATGAAGTATATGTCAGCTGGAATTCAAATGAAATTTTGATAAATCCAGTTTGTTTCCAGTTGGGATAGCTGGATATCACAGGTTTACTATGGACATCAGCTAGAAAAGGACTTTTTGACCTGTTACCATCTCTAGAAATTTTCTCAGTAACTGTCTTCGTCAAGATTGCTGGCTGCCATACCATCAGCACTCATAAAGCCACATATGAGAGAAATCTTTGTTGTCATCAATCCTAATAGCCTTTTACCTATCAAACTCTCATTACAGACAAACTGTAAGACCTAATCATCGTGGGCCTTTCACCAAAATGGCCTTCTTAAACAAACCTACCTTCTAAACAAGTTGTTAATTCTTTCAAGCTTGATAATGTGCAACACTTTAAATACAAAAAAAGATACACACATCAGTGCCCTGGAATTAAAGATGTCATTCATACCATCGAGGCATACAACTCTCAACTCTTAATTAAGAGCAGAAATTCCGAACATGTCTGACAGTCTGTTTTCCTTGTTGTAATAAAGTGGGATGCCGTCAAGCTACATTTTGTTGAGAAATCCTTGAGATTTAAAGAATAACTGTGGATATAGTGAAGAGAACAACCCACAGGCTTCTGTTTCTGGGTATCTATTTAAATGATGATATCCATTAATCTTGAAATCAAGACTTCCGTGATGTGTTTTTGGTTAACTGATTAATTTACTCAGACTCACCATAAGAGATGACTTATCTTTTTGCGCCCAATAATGATTTTCTACCATTTGGAACTAGCAGCAGATACCTCAGTTATATGTCTGATGATATCTTCCCTTTAATTTCAAGGCAGTGGCTATATCTTACACCAGCCCTTCACAGCCTGACTTTGGGAATGGAGAAAATGTCACGTTTGAGGGGTCTGAATACATAATCTGGTATTACCTGCTTGGCAACCAAAAAAAAAAAGTTTCCAATTGATGGATTTATAATTCTGAAGCTTCTTGGTTTGGTTTGTCAAACATCAGGTTTTTTTTTTCATCTGCTTGATCATGGTGTTTTGGGTATTTGCTATTAGTAGAATACAGCACTGATACAGCGGTTATGTGGTTTCTGTTCTTGCTGTAGATTTTGCACAGTGGTGATTGACCGTTTTCCTGGTGCCCAACTTTTTAATAGTTTTTGGAAGCTTGTTCCCCATCCCCATCATATCCATATTTAGTGCCCCTTTTAAAATCTACTTTTCTTCTCCACTTATTTTTGTGCCATAGAGGTTGAAGGCACCATTTCCCTGCTGGAAGTTATTTTATGAGATAACTTCATGGTACTTTATTGGTCCGGTTCATCTTATTTGTGGATTGATCCTGAAATAGTGTTGAAAAAGATCATTTAGCCAAATCATTTCTAGAGTTAATATTTATCTTATTTTTCTAACTTTCCCACAAAGTATTACTTGTATTTCATTACATCTATGCCAGGCTCAACAAACTGTCTTCCCAACTGAACTTGAGGAAAACACTGATTACCTGAAAAGAAACAAGGGTGTAAAAAGTAATAGCACAGATTTTTATAGCTCATAATGTGTATTATAC